TGTTTTAAATTTTAAATTTTCAATCATATAGATATGATCACAATCGGAAACATTGGATTTTCCATAAATAGTATGCTATTAATTAAGTTATTTTGAATTTTAGAAACATATGAGAATGTCGTTGAATTTGAGAATATCATATTGGGTTTGAGATGCTACATATTATATTTACGTTTTGAATTTCGAATTTTCAACCATATAGATATGATCATAATTTATGATAATATTGAATTTTTCATATTTGGTATTGCCATTAATTAAGTTATTTTGAATTTTAAATTTCTAATCATGTAGATAGGATCACAATCTATAATAACATTAGATTTTTCATATATAATATTATCATTAATTAATTAAGATTGAGGGTAAATGTATCTACAAGAAAATCACATGACCTATTGGGTTATAAATTTTTTCATAGAACCATATCTTATATAAATTTTTTAAATATGACTTATAAATAATTAATTCTTATTTATTTATTTTGTGAATCTTTGTTTGGCGTACTCTAAAAAAATTAAAAAATCAAAAAGTTACTATTTTATTTAAGTCTCATCATCTTATTTAAGTAACATCACTTCTCTATCACATCACTTTAAACCTAACTCATATTTCATAAAAATTTAAAAAATACACTTATTTAAAATATTCCAAACAACCCTTACAAATTAAGAATCCAACTATCCGTAGTCAAGTGAACGAATGAAAAGGAATATAACGTACACATCTTCTCAATGCTTTACGGATTCAGAGGCGAGAATTTGCCGCAACAACAAACTCATATCTTTTAAATTAACATAATTAGTATGTTTAGTTTGAGTTTTAGAGATAAGTTTTAAAAAAAAAAAAAATTTAAAAACTATTTTGTTTGAGATTTTTCTCAAAAAATTTTCAAAATTATTTTCTTTCTCTTATACATCAATCAATCACTTTTTCTCTCTCATCTCTCCTTCTCGATCACTTTTTCTCCCACACACATCTATTCAATTACAACAAAATATCAAATTATCCCAAACTCCCAAACTCTAAAACTACATTCAAAATATACAACCAAATAAACTAAAAAAAAATTCTAAAACAACTCTTCTAAATTTTTTTAAAAAACAACTCTCCCGAAAACAAACCAAACAAACCCAATATGTTTTAAATTAGCATAAAATTCGAAGCATGCGTAGGAGTGTCAAAATTTCATTTATAATTAAAAAATAATAGAACCTTTTAAAATAAGTGTATATTGCACAATCTTAATTTATATTGCTCATTTTTTCTAATGTTTCATTAAAAATATTTAAATTTGTTATAAAACTAAAATTTGAAAGAGAAAGAGAGATGTGATTTTAGTTGTGATGTGAGCCTCTGTTTGGGAAGTGAGTTGACTTTTTGATTTTTGGCTTTTTTGGTTATTTTAGCCTGGGCTAAAAAGCCTCCGTTTGGGAAGTGGGTTGACTTTTTGGCTTTTTGGCTTTTTTGGCTATTTTAGCCTGGACTTAAAAACTTGGTTTGGGAAGGGCTTTTTGGCTTTTTGACTTTTTTGAATTTTTTTGTGAGAGAAGAATGTAATGATTATGGGTTGGATGTGATGCTTTGTTTGTTATGACTAAAATAGCTTATTTTGTCTTTTGTGACTAAAATAGACAAAAAAGCCCAAGAACCAACTTGCCAAACAGAGGCAAAGCTTGATTTGAGAAAGGTTTTTTGACTTTTTGGCTTTTTTGACTTTTTTTATTAAAAAAAAGTGTAATGATTATGGGTTGAATGTGATGTTTTGTTTGTTATGACTAAAATAGCCTATTTTATTTTTATGACTATTTTAACCCCAACTTTTCTTGCCAAACAGACCCTGAATATAATATGTTGGTGTTAATAGATTTTAATTTTAATAGAGATTTGACGTGATAATTTGTAGTCGGGTAAGATAAAATAGATACGGAAAAAAAATCATATTTTTAACATTGTTTTGGGCTTCAGAAGCTCCCCGTTTAGGGGGGCTTTCGCTTTTCTTGATTTTAGTGACAAGAAGTTTCTGTGTCAATTTTAGATTTTTTTTTTTAAAAAAATTTTTAAAATTATTTTTAGGGGGGCTTTCGCTTTTCTTGATTTTAGTGACAAGAAGTTTCTGTGTCAATTTTAGATTTTTTTTTTTAAAATTTTTAAAATTATTTTTGAGGACTTCTTTGTCCGCCATTGTACATCTTTTCTTCTCTCTTCTCATTTTTTAATGAAAGTTTTCTTTTGTTACTGATATTAAAAAAAAAGAAAAAAAAAAAGGTATATAGATTAATAGTGATTCAAGATTTTTGATAGATCGAAATTAGGCCTTATCTTATTGGGTCCTTATGCAATAAGAATATTTTGAAATTTTTTTTAGTGAACCTTAGGCGACCGATAAATATCCTAATGGTTATGAAAATTTTAAATTTTTTGTATTTATTATTTTTATAATCAAATAGTCATGATTGAGATATAGTCAAATATCTGACCCAAATCATGACCACATATACCAATTAATTTGACTAATATTCAATTAGGTGTTTTCACCATCTAAAAAAAAATTAGATGTTTTTATTTTGGGTAAGGTTTGATTAAAATACAAATTGCCCCCTGTAGTTCTGAAAATTACATTGCACCCCTTGAGGTTTCTAATTTCATAACAAATCGTTTTTTCTATTAATAAATCATTAAATCAATTGACAGTTTTTAATGATGTTAAAAATATGTTTCAATTAACAATTTAGGTAATTTTATTATTGTATACAAGAGCAATTATGAATTTTATTTTTTTAATTAATTATGTTAAATAAATTTTTTTTAACAAAAAAATATTTGTAATTTTTCAAACCACAAGAAGAAATTCGTACTTTAAACAAACCTCAGAGGGTGTATCTGTAATTTACTCTTTTATTTTTTTGTAGTAGAATACGATAAGTATTTTTAATGTTCAGTTTTTTTTTAATTTAATAAATAGTTATGATTACCGTCAAAATATTTAACTTAATTGGATTTTACCCCATGAAATAAATATTTATTTTTAATTTTTAAAATTTTAAATTTACTAAACATGATTAAATGATGATATAGGAACCAAATTAATACTAATATTTGATCAATTTTTTCCTATAAAGATTCTCAAGTTTTTTCAACCAAAAGAAAAAAAGATTTTAAAAAAAAAATCTTAATATAAAACTAATTATTTAATAAAAAGAGCCATAATTTATTAATAAAGGTCTCACATAAATAATACAATAGACAAAAGTTGGAATAAAAATAATACAAAGAAAAAATAAAAGAATAGAAAAAAAAATCATATATCAATTAAATAATTGCCATCAATCATTAAAATAAAATTTTAAAAGATCATATAGAACTAAAAATTAAACCAATAGAAACTAAAAATGTAAAGTAGTAAGTTATACCAAATATTATAGGATAAATAATATATTTGAGAAACATGTGTTATATATATTTATTATAGTGAGTTAAAATGAAATGGTTAATAATGGTAATATGCATGAATTATTTAATAAAAATTCAAGTACGGTCATAAATTACCTACAAAGATCTATAAATCTAGAACAATTACATGAAAAAATTATAGAACTACATAGATTTTATATAAAACTATATAGATCTTATGTAAAATTATATGAATTTGAACAGATTACTTCAAAAAGCTCTATCATTAAATATACAATAAAATAAAAATTGCATGGAAGTTTTATTAATAGAATAAAGATGAAAAAGAATTGCATGGAAGTTTTATGGCTCCAAATAGATTTCAAATGAAAAAATGATGGATCTTGAGGGGTTGCTTGTAAAACTCTATGTATATTACAATGTTTCCTACAGAGGAAAAACAAATAAACTGTTGGTGTTAAGGGGAAAAAAAAAAAAATATTGTTGGGATTTGTTTCCAATGTTGGATTTTGTTGGTAGATGTTCAAATCTATATGGAAAAGGATAATGTATTTTTGAGATTTAGTATTTAAATTCAAATTTACCTTTGGAATAGAGATAAGGAGCTAAAGATATTTAACATCACATTTTGTTAAATACAAATCAAATTATTTGATTTTATAAAAAGCATAAGTGAATGAGATAAATGCTAACATTTTATTTCTTTCTTTTTTTTTATATTATTTATTATATATAATAGGTCGGAATAAGAGTTGTGAGTTTTTTTTTTTAATATTATTATTTAAATTTACGTGATACAGTACCATGTAAGGTCCAATATACACATCTATATACACAATTTTTATGAAAAATATTATCTGATTTTTTAAAATACTTTTTTAGATAACAATTGAAAGAGGGAGTGAGAAAACTTGAATAGTGGGAAGAGAGAAAAAAAGAGGGAGTGGGATTTGTGTCCAATATACTCCATATGTATTTATTTTATTTTTCCAAAATTATGAAAATTCAAGATTCAAACCCATTAACCTAACAATTCCATTTGGTTATATATATATATATATATAAATAGGCAGTTATCAAAATCAAATATTTCGAATTAATGTCAGATCAGACCTTTCTTCATGAGCTTGATTGGATATAGGTGTAATTTGCTGAGCTCGGTTTGGATTGAACGAAAAATTAGGATTGAACCAAACTCTTGACTTTTATTGGTTGAGAAATTAAAGTAGACTATTTTACGGTCATCATTTTATTAATTTTTTAATTTAGTGTAAATGAAAAATTAAAAAAAAAAAAAAAAGGAAAAAGATTTGATATGAAACATAATTCCTTCTTGTAAGCTTTGTGAATGTGAAATTGGCCAAAAAAATTAGAAGGAAAAGAAACCTAAACTTAAGAAATTCAATGATGAATGTTATAAGATTATGATACAGGAGGTATTATGTTCAGATCTTGAAAATAAAGAGAGTAGTAATAAAAAAAACATATAGATATAATTTGTACTTCATCTCTTTCATTTCCTTTTTTTGTCTCTACAAATTCAAGATCCAACCTAACTTAAAAAAAATTTAAAAAAGAAAAAGAAAAAAGTGTAACAGCCAAAAGGCCATAGCAGAGTGAGTTTGAAGCACAGAGGTATAGCAAGGCCAAGAATGATAAACTTCAATCACCTTCATTTCTACACAATTTTTACAGCCTTTCTTAGTTCATACGAACACAGCTTAGTCAGAACATCATGCTACTACAAACATATTTTATACTATAATTTACATCATATACACTTAGACTCCTGATGATGATGATGATGATGATGATGATGATGATGATTTCAGAACAAGTTCTATAATATAAAAGTGAAAAATAACCTTTAAAGCTATGGCAAGAACATGTTCACACCGTCAATTCTACGTTGCTCTCGCCTGACCCCGGTCTCAGCTCCGGCGGCGGAACACTGCGCCAATCCGCCGCACTTCTGACACATTCCGGCCACCAGAATCTGACGACACGACGGGCACGACGAATGAGATCCGAGCCACATGTCTATGCATTGGACATGGAATCCATGGCCGCACTGAGGCAACACTCGGATTTCGTCTCCGGCGACGAATTCCGTCAAGCAAATAGCGCAATCGGAGAATTTAGCGGCATCGTCGGACGTGTAAGTGAGTTTGGGAAGCGAATTGAGGACTTTCTTCTTGAGGCCTTTGTTGGGAGGCAGATGAGGAGCGGCGGATCTGGCGGAGATACGGCGGATCCAGGCGCAGCGAGCAACGGCGACGAGGCCGAGAACGCAGATTAGTGCGCAGAGTAGGGCGGCGAGAATGACGACGAAGTCGGAATCGACGGTTTGGGGACCCGGCGAGTTGGATTGGTTATTAGGGGACGAATTCACGTCGCCGAGAAGTCTTGAACGAAGAGGAAGACTCATGTGGAGAGTGTGTGGGGGTTCTGCTAATACCCAAGGGTTTTTTTAGCTTACTAGTCTCGTCTCATTACCACATACTATTATGATTTGTGCAATCAAATCCACTTTTGCCATAGTTTGGCATTAACTAAACGGGATTTTTTATTTTATTTTATTTTATTTAAATAGTCAAAAAATAAATAAAAAAAAATAAAACGCCACATCACAATCATAATTATTTTATTTTTTTTCTTAAAAAATTCAAAAAAATCTATCGCAAACGAGACTTTTTAGTCACAAATTAGGTCTTGTGGGTCCATAATTTTTGAATGACGAACACGTGGCCGAGGTGACACCAAAGTGCCAGCCGAGATGCCACGTGTCCTGGTCTTGGTGTCGAGATGATCTCAGCTAGGCCGAGGTTATCTGCTGAGATACCGGAATCCGGGATAAGGGGATAAGGACAAGAGTCCTAGAAGGAGAAAGAACTTCAGTTTGGGTAAAGATAAGACTCTTAGAGAGTTTATCACATTCCTACAGGGAGTCTAAGATTAACAGTAATCCTGAGTCCATTGAAGCTAGACTTTTATTGGGACTAGATTTGTGTTGGCTAAAAAAGAGAGGCACCTTCATGGGTCTAAGATATGCTTCTTATGCTCTGAATAGTGAGTTAAGCACTTTTGCTATCTTTGAGAGATAACTGACTTGATCGTCGGAGTGCCCCGGCTGGACAAACCACCGCCGAAATCTCTTCTTTTTATTGACAGGTCGTTCGGGCTTAATCTATTCTACCGGTATTCTCCAGCTGAGTACCTATTTAGCAGTGTGGTCAGAAATTGACACACACAATTTGGCGTCGTCTGTAGGAAAGAAAGGAAAATAGATGTCCAACGACGGACAGAAAGAGAAGGTTGGGGACGACACCCCTACTGAGAGTGGAAAACATATTGACCTTGATGTCGAAGAAGATAACTGCAACGAAGAGACTCGTGATAGAATCACGGAGAAAAAGACGTCGGCCAGGAAAGCGACGTACCGAAGAAATCGGACCGGAGCCGGTATTATAACGAGGACGACCTCCAGGTATGGAAAGATAGATGCCTGAGGAGGGACGATAAGGTGAAGAGAATGGCTAACAAATTGGCGGACTTGCAAAAGGTCGTCAATTTATGATGCAGAACAACATCATGTAACTATCGTTCCCGTTACAAGATACGCCGATTCCAGCGGCCAAGAAGGGTGCCCAAAATGGGGGGTAAAAAACGGTTCATGCAGTCTCTCAGCACGACGGGACCAAGGGACATTCTCACCGGCCTTCACGGGAGGTCGGGTGTGGAGAATCAAGAAAGAGAGAATCCCAGAAGACACGTCAAACAAGAGAATGGAAACAGCTTGCCGTGGCAAAGCCGAGATAACAATGAATTCAACAAACAAGAGACCATGGTCATGTGTTAACACTTGTTGAAATTTTAAAAATTTACAAGTTTAAGTTAAACTGATGTCATATTTAATACTTGTTGAAATTTAAAAAATTTATAAGTTGAAGTTAAACCGATGTCATGTTTAATGCTTGTTGAAATTTAAGAAAAAATTACAAGTTGAAATTAAACCAAGGTCATGTTTAACACTTCTTGAAATTTAAGAAAAATTTAAAAGTTGAAGTTAAACCGAAGTCATGATTAAAGAAAGATTGGTTTAACACTTGTTGAAATTTTGAGAAAAGTTTACAAGTCAAGCCAAGGTTGTATTGAAAGAAGTACTTATGTACTTGCCGAGATTACCATGTTGCCAAGACTTGGAAGAAATTTGAAGACAGAAGTCTTGCTAAAAGTAAAGTAGCAAGTTATGAATAACACATGTGAAAATATTTTTAATAATATTTTCAAGTGCTAAGTTAAGGCCGAGATAAACCATTGGTGGGTATAACCGAGGCATTTCACCTCGAGAAGATTGCATACTTAAGGTATACTTTGAAGACGTGCTAAAAGGAAGGAATGATATAGGTTCCATCACCTCAGGATGCCGAGGTAATAGAACCTAGGGGGCAATTGTGGGGACATAATTTTTGAAAGACGAACACGTGGCCGAGGTGGCACCAAAGTGCCAGCCAAGGTGCCACGTGTCCTGATCTTGGCGCCGAGATAATCCCGGCTAGGCCGAGGTTATCTGTTGAGATACCGAAATCCGGGATAAGCGGATAAGGGACAAGAATCCTAGAATGAGAAAGGGCTTCAATTTGGGTAAAAATAAGACTCTTAGAGAATTTATCCCATTCCTACTGGGAGTCCAAGATTAACAGTGATCCTGAGTCCATTGAAGCTAGACTTCTATTGGGACTAGGTTTTTGTTGGCTATAAAAGAGAGACACCCTCATGGGTTTAAGGTATATTTTTTATGTTCTGAATAGTGAGTTAAACACTTTTGCTTTCTTTGAAAGATAACTGACTTGATCGTCGGAATGCCCCGGATGGACGAACCACCACCGGAATCTCTTCTTTTTGTTGATAGGTCGTTCGGGCTTAATCTATTATGCCAGTATTCTCCAGCTGAGTACCTGTTTGGCAGTGTGGTCGGAAATTGACACACACAGGTCTCATTTGCCAACTAATATATTTTAGTCAAAAAATTAAAAAGTTACTTTAAGTTATCACATCACTCTCTCTACTTTTTTACACATATTTTCATAAAAATTTAAAAAATTATTAAAATAACTTATTTCTAAACAAGGTTTAAAATAACTAAAAAAATCAAAAATCAATCCACATTCCAAACTTGGGTGCTTTTATACGAAAAGCCAATTCATAAATCGGGCCATTTGTTGGTTAACTCCAATCATATTATTCATTTTTTATTAATTAAAATAAAATATAAAAAAAAAAAATTATTTTATCTATTTTTTTAGTCTATGTATTTTAATATTACTTTTTATTTTATTTATTTCTATACATAAACTGTTTAAATAGCCTTTCAAGACTCTTCAAATATAATCAGTTTCAAAAAATTTTGTTAAAATATCTATTATAATAGCTAATAGAATGATTAAAATATGTTAATGCTATCTATAATAACTAACATGTCTCATTTAAAAAATCCCTCAGAGATGGTCTAACACTGTGTGAGGACTCGAATTTAACTCTTATAAAGAAGAATTTGATTTTTATTTTATTTATTTCTACACATAAACTGTTTAAATAGCCTTTCAAGACTCTTCAAATATAATCAGTTTCAAAAATTTTTGTTAAAATATCTATTATAATAGCTAATAGAATGATTAAAATATGTTAATGCTATCTATAATAACTAACATGTCTCATTTAAAAAATCCCTCAGAGATGGTCTAACACTGTGTGAGGACTCGAATTTAACTCTTATAAAGAAGAATTTGATACAGGGGTGTTTGGGAATAATTTTTTTGGTTTCTTTTTTTTTACTAAAAGAAAAATTAGTTACAAAACCAAAAGAAATAAATCCAAACAAACCTCATAATCATTTCACTTTTTCTCTCACAAACATCACATCTAACCACAAAAAACTCAACTATCTTTTCAAACACACAAAAAAAAAATTCTCCAATAATATCCTACAACGAAAAAAACCTACAAAAAAAACTCACTTCCCAAACACCCACATTCATGTTGGTGGTTTATTTCTCTCTCATTATAGTCTTTGTTGGGCTTGGTAAGCTTAGTATATTAAGGCCAAGTTTGGCATATTGCAAAAAAGTCAAAAAGTCAAAAAGTTACTAAAAAAGTTAAAAAGTTTACACTATTCATCAAAAGTCAACAATTACGGCTGCACAACTTCCAATTCTAATTTTTTCCTACAAATCAATTTTTATAATTTTTTATTACACATTTTTCCATAAAAAGTCAAAAAGTTAACCCAAACATCTATATTTTCTTCTTCAATTTTTTAGTCCAAAAAGACAAAAAGTACACTTATTTAGGACACCACAAACAACCCCGAATTGTGTTAGATTTTGCTGACTTTCTAATTATTGTGAGCTAGTAATTTGTTTAATGATATAAATATTTCTCAAATTTATAATTTTTTAAAAATATTTCTCATATTTGTAATTACTTTCTTATATATTGAAAAAATATATATAAAAAAAAAGTTTCAATTGGTAGTAGATAAGTGTTGGATTTTAGGGGTTGTTTGTGATGCCCTAAATAAGTGTACTTTTTAAATTTTTAGACAAAAAAGTTAAGAAAAAAAATATGGTTATTTGGGATAACTTTTTGACTTTTTACAAAAAAATGTGTATTAAAAAATTATATAAATTAGTGTATAGGAGAAGCTTGGGCAGAAAAGGCGAAAAATTAGAATTGAGAGTTGTGCAGCCGTACTTTTTGACTTTTAGTGAATAGTAATAACTTTTTAATTTTTTGAGTACTACTATACAAATCGATAAAAAATAAAAATTTATTTTATAAGGGGCGAGATTTTTTTTTGATCCACATTATTATTGTTTGGGTTGTGTATAGTAGCGTATGAAATTTGATTCAGTAATGTCATGCAGTGAGGGGGTGTTTGGCAAGGGGAATGGATCATCGGTCGCCCTTTCTCGTCGCCCTTTCCTGTCGCCCCCAAAACGACGTCGTTTTGGGGGCGAGACGCGAGATTTAAAAATAAAAAGAAAAAAATATAGATAAATGTAAATAAAATATAATTATTTTTATATATTTTTTCTTTTTTTATTTCTAAATTTCTATTCAAATTCATAAACCAAACACAATATAAGTTGACTTTTTTCGTCTTTAAGGTTGTGTTTGGTTTATGAATTTGGGAAGGAATTTGAAAAGAAAAATGAAAAAAGTAAGTAAAATGCGAATGAAATATAATTACATTTCACCTAAGTTTCACATACTTGTTTTTTTTTTTTTTTCAAAATCACTCCCCAAATCCATGAATCAAACACAACCTAATTAATATTTTTAAGTCTCTTAAGGTTGTGTTTGATTGGATTGGAGGATTTGATGTGAAAAATAAAAAGAGAAAATGAAATGTAATTTCACTTTTTGTTTGGTTATAATATAAAACACAAGAAAAGATAAAGTGAAAGAAATGCAATCTCACTTTTTGTCTTTTGGGTTTATTTGGCCTCTTTTGGGAACA